AAGGAGTGATAGTCTCTGGATACCTAATCTGATGGGTATAGTAGCAGATTGTTTTTATTTTCCAGGTCAGAAGATGGGATGGGTTAGAAGCCTTGAGCCAGCATTGTTTTCATGTGGAATTGTAGTCTGAAGACACAAACTTTACTAGGAGGTTAAATAAGCAAGGGCCAAAAATTAGTAATAATAGAATAGCTATAGCCGGGTGCGGTGGCTCAAGCCTGTAATCCCAGCACTTTGGGAGGCTGAGGCGGGTGGATCACAAGGTCAAGAGATCGAGACCAGCCTGGTCAACATGGTGAAACCCCGTCTCTACTAAAAATACAAAAAATGAGCTGGGCATGGTGGCGCGTGTCTGTAGTCTCAGCTACTCAGGAGGCTGAGGCAGGAGAATTGCCTGAACCCAGGAGGCGGAGGTTGCGGTGAGCCGAGATCGCGCCATTGCACTCCAGCCTGGGTAACAAGAGCAAAACTCCGTCTCAAAAAAAAAAAAAAGAATAGCTATTTAAAGGTCTTAGGAAAGGTAAAAACCAGGTGAGAACAACACATGTAGTTTAGTACTGCACATACTCTTCCTTGTCACATTATTTATTTTTGTGTTTGTGAAATAACAACTTTAAGACTTATAAGAATTCATAAATGAAGGTCATAATGTCCTCCTTCTACACCTACAGGGACTCATAAGAAACAGGTTTAATTCTGGACAGGTGTAGCCAGCTAGTGATTTCTTGAAGTTTAACAACAGTTGGGGGTACTTAACAATACCCACTAAAGGCTCTTTTATTTTGGTTGTAATTGATTCTTAGGGGATCCTTTTTATTATTTATTTATTTATTTTGAGACAGTCTTACTCTGTCGCCCAGGCTGAAGTGCAGTGGTGTGATCTTGGCTTACTGCAACCTCTGCCTTCTGGGTTCGAGCAATTCTTCTGCCTTAGCCTCCCACGTAGCTGGGACTACAGGTGCACACCACCACACTTGGCTAATTTTTGTATTTTTAGAAGAGAGAGGGTTTTGCCATGTTAGCCAGGCTGGTCTTGAACTCCTGACCTCAGGTGATCTGCCCACCTTGGCCTCCCCAAACTGCTGGGATCCCCAGCCAAGGGAATCCTTTTTTAAAAAAAATTTTAGTAAGACTAAGTCTTGTGGGAAGAGGCAATACTTTATTTCCATATTCTTGAAGGACCTTATGAATATAGCTTAAACTTTAAAGCGGGCATAGTTAAGGCATATCCAATCCCCTGTTTACCATCATGGCATGAATTAGGGTTTGCAGTCTCATAGCCAAGTAAACATCTTAGACCAAATGGTAATGGATATGGAAAGGCACTCATTAGCCCTTAAATCCTTTTTTAATAGTAAAAACCAAAAAGCCAAAAATAAGGCTACATATCAAGAAAAACCAAGAGTATAGAATCAGGTTATACTGGAGGAAACATTGATTTTGTAGACCTTTAAGATAAAACATTTTAGCATCAGGCCATACCAATTTTAACTGAAGGAGAAAAAATTACAGGAGCTCATGAAAAAGCTGAAGGAGAGAGTTATCTCCAGGCCTTCTCAAAGGGAGAAAGAATTGAAAGCAGTGAGAAAGAGTTGAAAGCAGTGAGCTACAACAGTTGAACTTCTGAGATACGAATCTGAGGAGTTCTTAAGAGAAACAGGTTATAAAATTGAAAAGCAAAATTTCAATTTCTTCTAATTTTTTTTTTTTTTTTTTGAGACAGAGTCTTGCTCTGTCACCCAGGCTGCAGTGCAGTGGCACAATTTTGGCTCACCATAACCTCTGACTCCCAGGATCAAGTGATTCTCCTGTCTCAGCCTCCTGAGTAGCTGGGACTACAGGTGCACAGCACCATGCCCAGCTAATTTATATACTTTTGGTAGAGATGGTGTTTCTCCATGTTGACCAGGCTGGTCTTGAACTCCTGACCTCAGGTTATCTGCCCACCTCGGCTTCCTAAAGTGCTGAGATTACAGGTGTAAGCCACCATACCTGGCCCAAAATTTCTTGTAATTTTATTAAGACCAAATCTTTACCTTTTCTTAACAATAGGGGATCCATTTTCTCGAAAGACTATTATAAACAATTCCCTTTTAACAGGAGAATCCTTTGAACCCAGGAGGCGGAGGTTGCAGTTAGTCAAGATCGTGCCATTGCACTCAAGCCTGGGCAACAAGAGCAAAACTCCATCTCAAAACAAACAAACAAACAAAAACAGTCATTTCACTCTAGGACAAGAATTTACCACATAAGTTTTTTTTCTCATGTAAAATTACTGTTTTTATTTTTTAAATTAAAAATACATCTTTATTTCTATATCTTTTTTTTTTTTTTGAGATGGAGTTTCACTCTTGTTACCCAGGCTGGAATGCAATGGTGCAATTTTGGCTCACCGTAACCTCCGCCTCCTGAGTTCAAGCAATTCTCCTACCTCAGCCTCCTGAGTAGCTGGGACTACAGGCACGCACCACCATGCCCAGCTAATTTTTGTATTTCTAGTAGAGACGGGGTTTCACCTTGTTGACCAGGATGGTCTCGATCTCTTGACCTTGTGATCCACCCGCCTCGGCCTCCCAAAGTGCTGGAATTATAGGCATGAGCCACCGCGCCCAGCTATGTCTTTCTTTTCTTTTTTGAGATGGAGTCTCTCTCTGTCGCCCAGACTGGAGTGCAGTGGTGTGATCTCGGCTCACTGCGAACTCTTCCTCCTGGTTCCAAGCAATTCTCTGCCTCAGCCTCCCGAGTAGCTGGGATATCAAGTGCCTGCCACCACTTCCAGCTAATTTTTGTATTTTTAGTAGAGACAGGGTTTCATAATATTGGTCAGGCTGGTCCTGAGCTCAAGTGATCCACACGCCTCAGCCTCCAAAGTGCTGGGATTACAGGCATGAGTCACCGTGCTCAGCCTATATCTTTTTTTTTTTTTTTTTTTTTTT